AAGCACAATGAGAAAGTGTTGCTAGTGTCACCTGAAGGGGATCGCAGAGTGAGAATAGTGCTTGGGTCTTGCAGGCGGGTTTCTGATAAGCAGCAGATATCGATGGAGCGAGTGTCTAACGTTCGGGCAAGTGCTGTCTGTTGAATGATCTGTAACAATGGGCGTATGTTGGGGCATTGCAATCTGAGGGAGGACCGGAGGCTGCAAACAGAAGTTGATGCATTTTGTTTGATCGTTTGTTTAAGCATGGGCTTGTCGGTAGGTCAAGAGTGACGCTCCGCGTTTGATGTGTATTGCAACTAGATTGTAAACGCCTGGAAAAGCATGTTTGGGGAGGTCCAAGAATTGGGGCTTGAAGACGGGGGGGGGAGTGAAGGAAGGGGACCATAAGGGTTGAAACCTGTAAAAGGGGGAATAAGAAGACGGGAAGGCCTGAGCAGTAGCATCCAAACACCTATCCACTCTGTTAGATGCAGCAGATAAGGTGCCGTTTAGTATCCTCTGTGACGGCCAGAGCGTCAGGAAATTGTTTGAGAAAGTGCATAGTATTGCTTGGACAGGATACTGTCAGGTTGCCCACGTCTTGACAGGAGAACGATTTTGGTTCTCAGCCAAAGCCTTTGGTTCATAAACTTGACCGCAAGGCAGCAGGTTTGACGGTGGACTACAAGGATTCCGTTTTAATTAATACCGAGCCACCCACATTCCAACCCCCGACCTGGAGGTCCAGTAGACTGAGTTTCTCAGGCTTCTAATCATTGACCAATCTGGTATGAGTGGCTCTGATGGTTCAAAAGAGCACCACCTAGCATAGCTCAATGGATCGCTGAGGCACGCAGATCATCGCAACACGGTAAGGTCCATCCTCATTACGACGCTTAATTGTCTGCGCTTTGTCAGACGCGCATAACTGTAGGTTGTTGTCGCAGTCGCTCTTCTTTACTGGATGATGCTCTTCGCTTCAGTCGGTTGCACTTGTTTGTAACAATTTCTATCTTTGAAGATATTTCCCTTACAATTCTATTCTCGCATGTCTGCTGTGACCGTCTGGATTGTGTGAGAGACTGTGTGGCTCTTCTATCTGAATCCATTGCACTAGTCACTTTCCCTCGTGTTCGAATAACTAAGGGAATTTTGTTCCCCTTCCGTTTCTAACCAACTGCCAAACTCAATCTACTCTGGTCAAGTCCCTTTAGGGATCCGACCTGACTGATGCACACCCACTTCCAACTGGTCTGATGTGAAGCGCTACATGTACTCTACGCGTTTAAATTACAGCACAGAGACGTTGAGATAATCCGACGGACCACTGGTTCCGGTTATCCTTTAACATCCACTGATTGTCTCAAGGCCCTGAAGCGACGGCTGACAAGGAGTCTTCGAATTGACCGGAAATGTTTGTGGGTGGCAGTGGCCCGTGTGGTGGAGAAAGTCACCGATATTGTAACATCTGGGGTCTGTTCCAGCTCATCCGGAACACCGGTCCGAGGAAGCTAGCAGTTAGAGATGCGATAGCTAAGAAAGCTGGACATTTGCTCAATTCTCAGTCGCGTCGACTATCCCGTTGGCCGGAGTCTCTTGAAGTGCAGTTCAGCAGATCTTCTGCCACACTGACACTTACTGGATCGCGTGAGCCAACATGGGATGTTGATGTAACACCTTATCTTGGAAGAGCTTTAGCATGGGTTTACCGCGTTGAAGCGAAACGAGACCTCTGAGCTCAACGACCTCCATCTTTGCTGAAAGACGGATGTCGCTCTTTTTAACCGGATTTGCTTCTCTATTCAACACGATTTGGGACTTTGAAAAGGTGCTTTCAGACTGGCGGCTGCCAATTATCGATTAACAAATTTACGAAAACTATCGAGGAATTAGATGGAAATTGGGTATTGCCCACCCGAAAACACTGCACCGCCACGACGCGTTTCGATGTAATTTCATCTCATCAGGTGGAGACAGCAGGATTTGAACCCACGACCATTGGAATAGCAGCCAACACTACTACCCCTTTGGCTACCGCGTCACGATGGGCAATGCTTTTTGTCACAACGTTAGATGACTAATTGGAGGGTCAAGTTTGGATTACACCTTGTGTGATTGGATTGCGACACGCAACCTCAATGTAATGGAATGTGATTCACATTGAAATGAACCTTAGTCACTGCGATCAGGGGGACCGTATTTAAAGTAGATGGAAATTGGGTATTGCCCACCCGAAAACACTGCACAGCCACGACGCGTTTCGATGTAATTTCATCTCATCAGGTGGAGACAGCAGGATTTGAACCCACGACCATTGGAATAGCAGCCAACACTACTACCCCTTTGGCTACCGGGTCACGATGGGCAATGCTTTTTACCCTTCTTTCCACTATCTCCAAATTTTTAACATGTTCTGCGACGACTTACTGGTCTCCATGAGGACCGAATCGATGAAGGCCAGACTGGATTCTACCTATCACATACTTTTCCCCGTTTTGTAGCGTCGATACACTTACGGACGACCGAATATAGTGCTTTTCCTTGACTTATAAACCGCCTTCGACTCTGTTGATCGCACCAACTTCTGGCACTGTCTATCTGTGGAGTGCTTGGAAACCTCATTTCCGTCCTGGAGTCCCTCTACCGTGACTGCCGAGGTCTTGTAAGGGTCTACACGAAGCCTCCTCCTGAGTTCCCCAAGACAGGGAAGCTCACTAACATTATCCTTTGTGATCAAAATGATCATGAATGGCTCTGTCCTTTCAGACTTCCGGAGTGGAATATGCCACGTATTTTGACGACATAGCTCTTTTTGGGTCCAGTGCAGTGGCTCTGCAAGCACTACTGCACAGACTAACGCGCAGCCGCGCACACTCTATCATGTCTTTTGTACATACAAAGTGCAAACTATTGTTGCAGAACTGAATCGATACGCCGGTTTTTAGCTATCAGCGTACAGCCACTGGTAGTGGTAGATCAGTTCACTTACCTTGGCAGCTGTGTCACTTCTCTTGGTCACATCATTGAGGAAATTACTTCGCGTATCAGCAAGACTCGTGTGGCTTTCCAGAGGCTCTGCCATCTGTGGAAGCGGCGCGATATCAGCTTATCAGTGTACTGTAGTGTGTATAACGCTGCGATAATGTTGGCTTACTGTATGGATCAGTGACCTGGCCATTTCGTAGTTAGGCCGTTAAACGTCTGACTATGTTTGGTCATTGGTACTCTCGAAGTATTGCCCATATCTGGTGGGAACACTTTGTGAGCAGTGCTGAGGTCCGCCAGTTGGTTTTTGACATGAAGCCCTCTGGTGCCTCACTGAAGTATTTGTGTAAGCTCAACCGCTTACGTTTGCTTGGTCATGTCCTCCGTATGCCCCTTGACCTGTTTCCTCGGTGTGTGTTATACACCGTCGTTGCCCCAGGCTGGCTGGTACCGCAAGATGGTCATTCGATGACTTGACATAAAGGGACGAAGAAATCGACTGAGACTTGGTCAGGCTGGAGCGTGCAGTTCTCGTTTACAGGTGCTCCGGTTGCTGACGTAGTCATGACGTTTCTGGATTCAGTTTTTTTACATCCAGTTTTCATGCCGATTGCTTTTGCACGCTTTTTTTGCTGCTTTTCTTCTCTTCGTATACAGTTTTTCTTCAATCCCATTTTTCTACCATTGTTGTTTATTGTCATTCTGGAGGTAAGACTCGTGGCAACTAGATCCATCGCACTTCGGTGCCCGGATTATTGATATCCAGTTAACTTGAAGTATGTAAGTGCATGACTGTTCCAGCTATTTATTTTTATCACCTCTAGTAGCCAAATGGTTAGTGTCTTTCCTAATCCCATTTCACTCAGTGTTGACGGATGTAATCTTACCGAGCACACAATGGCATTGTGATGACATGTTGCTTGCGTGCTATTGTTTGGACCACTGACAGACATGGGCGGTGCTCATTACTACCCTTGACATCCTAGTTGTCTTTGGCTTCGCTCCTTGCGAAACAGTACACCTACCTGATTGAATCACTAAGTGGTTTACTATTTGGTATACAACAACAAACCGTTCATCGCCGCAATGGACTGCCTTGCGTTAGAGCAACTTAGCTCTACTTGGTGATCTCCATTGGATGCTTATCGGTTACCCGCCTAGGCATTCTGAGGAGTATATCTGGTTCCGCGAAACTGCGGAAGGCAAACGACGAGATGGTGTCGCAGCACGGTGAGACTGATCAAGGCCTCTAGGGTGTTTACGATCGGCCACATTCAGAGTGGGATCTTATCCCGCGTAGTGTACTCGAAGGTCCAGCAGCGTCGTTAAATTCGATCGCCTGCCTCCATTTCTACACGAGCAGTTTTTCCCTGCATGACTTTTGGATGCATCTTGGTGTGTTTTTACTTACTTAATTTTTTCGTCCTTATTACTCTTTCTCTCCCAGATGCTGTTACAGTTGAAACCCTACCGCACTTCGGTGCCTCGGTTATTGTTGGTCGACCTTTGTCAACTAGCCACCTGCCTATAGAGTGTAGTTCGTTTTCATCCCACTAACAATGTATCCTTAGGGAATCACTGATAAACCTTGTTTCTTACCGCATTATTGACGAAAAGAAAGAGTCATCAGCGGTACGCCCACCCACTGTACCGACGCTTCACTGCCGCGCGACCACCAACGGTCGCGCGTGAGCTGAGTATACGGCGAAGACGCCCGCCCCTACGCGGTTTCGAACCGGTGACCTAAAGACTGAAGTCCATGCATGCAATCCCTTCAGGTACCGGCAGACGCAGTATTGATGCTAATGTTAATTATCTTCAGCTCAATGGTTTCGCATATCCGATGGCGTTTTAGAACGCTCATTTCTGGGAATCTCGAGTTTATGCTCTCCGCGTCGCGTTGGTGCGTTGAACAACACTAATGTAGTCTCTTAGACCCGGAACACTTTTACCACTATACTCTACCAACCACTGGATTTTGCCTCGTTTCTGCTTACCGTCATCTCTATCCTCTATCTATCTGCTCTACTCAGCGGTACGCAAAGATCGTATGCGCGGTGGTAGAAGCCGACGAGGCAGGACAACATATCAATCCAATGAAATTGACTCTATTCAATCTGGTGATTTCACTGACTTCTCAGCTTCGCCTGGAATGAATAGAAGAAATTCTGCGAGCGATTTATCTGACAACATGACCACCACCGCGCCTCATTTGGCACCCGCCACCTCAATCCCACTGTTTGGTTCTCTTGGTTTGGAAACGCAACTCACCAATCCACATTTCAGCCACGCGAAGTGAGTTTGCGAATTTTCTTCTAACAACTGGACTACGCGAATTCTCGCATAGGTTGCTTTACGCATTGTGTGTGTGTGTGTGTGTGTGTGTCTATTGGCGTATCATCTTGGATTTCCCCCTTTTTGTATTGCACCCCCCGGTGTCTCGCTGATAATATGATAGTATCCCGACCAAATCACCACGTCCCACTCTTAATACTTCAGTATGTAAATAAGATTTTTCTCCTCCTTAGTGCAGCATACACTGAATGCTTAACTCATTGTGATTCCGCATACGCCATCTGTGATCTACGTATCAGTTATTCCCCTTTTATATGTTTCTTATGTGCGATTTATCATGATGTACGGCTTACCGGTTGCGGGCTAGTTCATTCACCTGCCTTATAGTTCACAAGTAGTTGGTTCGGTGCTGCGTAAGCACAGTCGGCCTCGAAGTATTCCTATCTCGCATGCGACTCGGTGGCAACGTGGCCACGGAGTTTCGGTGTGAAGTTATGACGCGTACCCCTGATGCTTTACTCATTCGTACACCATATATATATATATATATATATATATATCATGGGATGAGAACGCACCACGATTGTTCTATCTCGCCGTTCCTGTTAAAATTTGCTATCGAAGATGTCCTAAATTGCACCCTGAAAGGAGCCCAGAGCTGCTTTGTTGAGCTTCTACCGTGAGCAGAGTCTTGAACCTGGATTATGCTGATGACATTGCTTTGCTGGGGGACGACTCGCAACCTGTACAAAATATTCTGAACCGCTTAGCGATAGAGGCATCTAACTACGGTCTGTATTTTGCTCCATCCAAGTGTAAAGCTTTGCTCCAGGATTGTCAGGCTCCTGGGCCTACGTTCACCATTTCGGGTGTCAGCCTGGAGCTCGTTAACAGCTTTACTTACCTTGAGACTTGCATTACGACTGATGGCGGTATTGGCGATGAAATTTCACAGCAAATTGCCAAAGCTTGCCTCGCATTTACTAACCTGAGATTCTTGGGTCGTCGTCGCGATATCAGTCTCAGGCTCAAAGGCCGAGTGTACAATGCCACAGTTCGTGCTGTCCTGCTGTACAGCTGCGAGACCTGGTCTGTTCGATCGGAAGATTTTAGACGACTGTCTACTTTCCACAACCGCTGCTTGCGTTCGATTACTGGCGTGTGGTGGCAGCACCATGTGAGCAACGCGGAAGTTAGAAGCAGAATCATGAGAACAGACAGTCCTGGTCTCCAGAGCATAATCATCCAACACCAATTTTGCGTTTGTTCGGTCACGTGCTGCGTAGGCCGGCTCACCGCCTTCCACCTCGCGCATTATTTGCAATTCCTGGACGCGAATGGAAAAACCCGCGGCGGACAACCAATGACCTGGAAAACTAGTACAAAGGTTTTAACTTCGTGTCTAGCGTCAGTTGAATCCGTGCGTCACCCAGGCTGGGGTACACGTGAAGCGGGTTCCCAATAGTTGAAACTCTTAGGGAATTTGGCCCGCAATAGGAGTCACTGGCGTCGATGCTGCTCTACCATCTCTTCATTCTGTACTTTTGATGTTGTATAAAACATGAAAACAAAAGGAAGTCCAAACGGCGTATGCGAACTTGAACCAACTTTTTCTAACGTTTTACTCTCTTTCTTCTTGTTAAACTTTATATTCTCCTTTCCCTACCACCATGGTTCGTATGCAACATTTGTGTGTCTACAGACTTGTATATATATATATATATATATATATATATATATATATATATATATATATATATGTGGCGGCATCCGGTTTTGGATTCGCCTGTCACTGTGGCCAGCCACAGGACGCCTGTGCCTACAGAGGGACCATGGGTTCCTTGCGCTGCACCACCCACAGCTCCAACCACACACCCCATATCCAGTGAAAACCCGAAGAAATAAGACCGGGAGGCATGTGGATGGGAGCCACGTTTCATCAACCGAGCCGGCCCACACTCCTTCACAGGCAAACACAAGCACGCTGTATTTGGGAATCAAGCGCACACACAAGGCGGTGGCTGGACCGTAGTGCGCTCCACACTGAGTGCATGGAACCACTCTTTGATCCTAACACGGCCACAAGAACCGTGCACCCCGTCCCCTCCAGCAATGAGCAACCGTCTCCTAGAGCCAATATGGACGAGGTAGTTGGTAATAGACAGGTAGACGCCTTGTCAACATGCACATCAAGCGCAGCCACACGGGGGATATCAAGCAATAGCCAATCACTTAAGAGAAAGGTACCAAAAAATAAATCGAATAATGCATAAGGAAATTAATGAGCATATGAACCAAGTTGTTTACAAACTAATCCGCGATAAGTTCAGGAAGTCAGAAAGCATATTTTGCGGGAATGTCACAAACACGAAAATGTTATCGAAATTACCTACAATTAGCTTCACCGACGTGTGCAGGTTTATAGAAGGGCGTACAGGTAGATATTTATATGAGAAAGAAAAGCATTAGGACACAATTGAAAACCCATCAACTGAAATAAGTAGACTTAGCATGCAAGTACGCGGTTAGTAAATCGAATGCAGCGTGCCTACAAACGCTGCGCTGGTTCTGCCTACGTTCTCTGCGGGACCCGTCGTCGCTTCGGTAGTGGTCCCGAGTGGCCTCGCTCGTGGCTCACTAGGCCTGCCTGACTCAGGCACTCGCGACCGCATGTGCTATAGCACCATGCGCTTGATGTCGTTGGAGTACAACTCATCGTTGCTTGCAGCTTCCGTACTTGCCACTTCTCTGCATGTATGAGGTCATTCTCCCGCAGTCCGGCAACTGGCTTCGTGATTAGATAGCGCCATGCACGCCGATCAACCGCCTTCTATTCCCATGACCTGCAATCAAGATTAGAACGTGAGATGCTCACTTTGATCATGTCCTGGAAACGTAACTTTAGTTTCCCCACATGCCGCTTCCCAATACTCAGCTGAGCATATAAGAGTTGTTTCGGTATCCCCGTTGAATCCACATGACCGATCCACTTCAGGCGTCTCAGTAAAAGTATGCAGTCCACTGCATACATCCCACTTTATGGCAACACTTCCGTGTCAGCAACTCTGTCGCCACAACCGATTCGCAAAATCCGTCGGAAACACAGCTGATGGAACCGCTCGAGATACCACAAGTCCAACCAGTACATCGTCCACGTTTCACTGCCGTATAGAAGAACGGACAGCACCATGGATTTGTACACCATCAGCTTCGTGCCAATGGTAAGCTGATGGTTGTTCCACGCTCGGTACTCAAGCTTCCCGAATGCCACCGCTGCCTTCGACAACCGGATACCCAGCTCACTGTGCCGCCCCTGATCAGTCGACATCACACTCCCAAGGTAGCAGAGGCGGGAGGTGGTTTCTAATACTTCAGCACCAATGCTGATTCGCGACAATATTGAAGATTGCACCTCCGGTGAAGGCTGAAAGAGACAGACAGTTTTGCTTGTGTTGATGGTGAGCCCGGATTTGGCCGCTGTCGAAGCCAGAGTACTAGTCATGTGCTGCAGCTCATCCGCGCTGTGTGCAAACAACGCACAGTCGTCAGCGAACAGTAACATACGGATAGTTGTCTCACAGACTAGAGTTCTCACACCGAAACGACGGCTGTTCAGCAACCCACCAGCAATACTCTGCTCCACGCGATCACCGTAAGCACAAGTGGCATCAAAATCACAAGACATCATTTCATGAATATATATATTACACAGGGCGGGAGCTTAGAGACAGCCTTGCATCACACCAGAGACAACTGCAAAGTCATCCGAGGTCTATCTACTCAGCTGCACCCTCGCTCGCCTACCACTGTGCAGACATTCAATTAAACTTACAAACTTACGCGGGCAACCAGACTTACCCAACACCAGCTACAATGCCGCGCGTTTCACCGTATCAAATGCCTTGGTGAAATCAACAAAAAGCGAGTACAAAGGCTGGTGTCGTTCTCTGCACTTCTCTTGCAACTGACGAGCCGCAAACACCATATCTATAGTTCTGCGACCCGAACAGAATCCACATTGCTCTTCCGCCACGTTAGGTTCCACAATCTGACTGACGAGGTGGTTGAGCAGGATTCGGGCAATCACCTTGCCCAAACAACTCAACAAGTTGATGCCACGATAATTCGTGCAACCTTGCTTGCTACCTTTGCCCTTGTACAGTGGTAGCACAAGGGCATCCTTCAGTTCAGGAGGCATCTCCTCTTCAATCCATACACGTTACACCAAGTGGTGCAGCACAGTCAACAACGCGGGTCCGTCGTTTCAATGCTTCAGGCGGGGTCCCGTCGACCCCAGCACACTTGCCGTTTCGCAGCTGAGCAAGTGCTCTCTGCGTCTCACCCATTGTCGGCGCGTCCGCCAGAGTCACCTTCATATGGTGCTGCTTGAGGCCGTTTAACGTAGGGCAGTCGATCTCTGAACAGTTGTTTAAGAGACAGTCAAAGTGTTTCCGCCAGATCTGCATTATGTCTGCAGTCTGTGTGCCGCTAGTGCCTGAACTATCATCGATCAGCGTCCTCAGCGGATCCAATGTCGCCGCCATCAAGGAGTCAAAGAATTCCTAGTGTTGACGGCATTGGGCGTATCATTCTATCTGCTTCGCCTGCTCCGTCTGCCATGCATATTTAACGCGGCGGAGCTCTCGGGTCAGTCGCCGTCGTAGTTTCGAAACTGACTACTCTTCCCCAAGTCACTGGGGTGTGCCACATGTGCAGCAAATGCTGCATTCTTCCCTGACACCAATGCGCCAATCATCGCAGTGTTCTCATCAAACCAATCAGGCCGCTTACAGTTTGTGCGCCCGATGGTCTCCTCGGCAGCAGCTGTCACCTGTTTGCGAATGTGGTGCCACAGGTTGCCCACTGTGGCTATGCAGTCCACATCACAAAGGTGTGCAGCCATCGCCTTCTCCAGCTCAGTACGCTTCGCCACAGTACAGAGGGAGAGAATGTCAAATTTACGCCGATTCACGGCGGGAGTGCAATACATAGATTTACGA